CTCGGCTTTTAACGTGCAAATGTTTAAACGGATCCGATGCGAACGTAATATTCGACGGGCTTTGTGCCGGCGTAATTAAAATAATCTTTCCGATTGCGCGAAATAATCACGTCCGCAGTTTATACAGCGAGAGATCACCGATCCAGTTTTATGCGTCATCGGCATCGGAGCATTAACGCCGCTAAGAGGAATTTCATTTCTCGTGCGGTAAATGCCATGGTGCCGAATGAGGATTTAAATATTAAGTAACACTGGATTCGAACCGTGGCGAGCCACTCGTTATTCGACGTTCGCCACCAACCGTTTTGCGGTCATCTTGAAGTAATTGGAATGGAATGATCGATATCGGAGAGAAAAATTTAAGTAAATTGTAACGAGGAGCTGGATGTATATAAATTAATATCATGCTCAGGTGGAAACCATGACGAGTCACAATTTTGGTTATTAAACTAAATGAGTTAGCTGATGTTATATCCTCCGAAGCTGTTTAAAATATTGAATTTCTGAAACTTGGACTGAACAAAGTTAACCTCGACAAAGTATATTTCGTTTTGAGTTGGTGCAGTTTAGTAGTGGGTAATAGTACTCGAAATTGAGAAGCGAAATTGAGAACATTGAAATTTAAGGGATTTGGTATATTCCCTATATACATATGTGATTCCAACCTCACGTTACTAATGCATATGCTGATTTCCGTTTGCACCGGAAACACGTGAACCTTCAGTATTAAATTGCTCATAAAACGCCCTAAAGCTTTCTAGGAAAAATAGCAAACTCTCTTGAACGTCCAGCCACTCCCGAGGACTGAGCGAACGCGTCAATCGCGAAGATCGATGGATCACGGTCGACGTCGAGGACACATATACAGACCAAGAGTTCTACGCCACTGGCTTAAGGGAACAGCAAGATAACTTCACACCAAACTATCCATTTTTAGCACTTATCTTAAAAATTCAGGCTTTTAAAAAATCAGGGTATTGGAGTGAGCGATTTTATTTCTCCTAAAACCATTGAGCAGATGCCTTGAGAAGATGGACAACAGCATAACACATTGATTGTTATACTTTTTTTTAAGTTCTTTGAAGCCATTTAGTTTTACATGAATTGTCCCCAATAAACAAGGATCTAAAGATTGATTATTTAAATATTGCTAGACTAATACTTGCGAAAATGACTAGGTGGCTAGAATATTCTTTTTAAACCATTGGAAATTGCGTATTCCAATATTTTTCGTAGTAGTGTTTTTGTAACTTCATACAAATTTAATTTATAGCCCCCGAATCTTATCCTTACCCCGAAAATATTCAAATAAAATTCAGAGAATCGACGTAGAACGCAGAAAAAAGCCTCGCCGAGCAGTCGGACTTTCTCCAGGGATTTCCTTATCAGAGAAAAGTGAGCCACGATGCCCGGAGCAGTCAGCATTCGTCTCCATCGAGAAATCGCAGTCGAGAGATTCGGAATTCTAGGGAAGCAGAGATCGCCGAGGGATTCCTAGTTCGACGGGACCTCGACTCGACCGAGTCCCAGTCTAAATATTTGGAGCGATACTGGCTCGGCGTAATTGGACCAATTTCGACGTGGAATTATTTCGGATGCACGTTTATATCGTGGCATCCGATCGTTCGTACGTGTCTTAATACGACACGTCCGATAAAGTAATACTCGAGAGGGTCGCGGATGGCTGGGAGGGAGGAACAGGTATTCCCAGCATCCGTGCCGTGGCTTCTCGGCTCCCTGGAGATCAACGGCGAACGAGCGGTGTTTCCATAGTTGCGGCGCGAGCTCGTGAATCCAAGATTCTGTGGAGACGAACGACGACGATGACGACGAGAAGAGCGCGCGAGACGAGCGGAAATACAACGCTGCGAGACGAACGACCGACTGGTTGGGAAGCTCGGCGGAGTTTCCTTCCAATGGAACTTTCATGAACTCTGGGCTTCGCGAAAGCGGGCAATGAAGACTCGGGCAGTCTGGCGTTTCGGGCAGAATATTGTCGTTTCTTTATCATTTTTTTTTTCTTTTGAAGAAGGAATGTCTGGATGGGGATAAAAATTGGTAGCTGTTTTAACCCTTTTACCTCCAAGACCATTTTTCTTAGACTTCTGAGTTATAGAGTGGCTACGAAAAACTCTTTGCAGTTTGTTAAATTATACGATTTTTTTAGAATTTTACATTTTTATCAACCAAACATAATCATACACAAATAAAAATAGTTTAATGGAAATATTGTCCTTCATTTGATTATTTATATCGTAGTGTCGCGTTCCTGTTTGAAACAAATAATGGGAAACTAACGTATTTTTTAACGCTATTGCTTAAGAATATTGATCTTATAACTAATTGAATTTAGACATCCATCGATTATTAAGACTTAATGATAAATCGTGGGCAGTGACACTGGCCGTAGGAGTAGAATGCCTTCAAGTGCATGGGCAATACAAGTGGCCTTAGGAGTGCAAAGGTGTTAATGTAAATAATCCAAGAATAATTCACCAGACTGCTTATAGATGAGACTTAGACTAGTATCAAGCCACTGTTAACTTTTTACAACACATACTCGACCTTTCAGGCTTGCTAACATACGCTAAGAAAGGAATGCACACGCAAACCAAAATACTATATATTTCCGATGACAAAACTGCTGCTTCCCTCTAGATTTCAGCAAGTCAGCTCTGTGATAGAGCTACGCGAAATACGAGATTTATGACAATTAGCAACACGCTCGCAAACATATTGCACGGTTCACAGTTTCTCTTCCCACGAAATTGACGTGTCATATTTCCACGGGACAAGAGTCACGTAAAATGACGAATACGTTCTGCGTATGGGAGAGGAAAATTGAAGGCAGAAGTGTCGCAGCTCGGGAGTCCATGCTATCAGAATTATAAGCTATTATAGCGTATCGGTAATGCTGAACGGTAGGTCAGTTACGCATGGACACGGAGATATCGATTGGAGGATAAATTACAATTGTTGTGGTTCGAATTACCTGCACGATAGCGGGAAGGCTTCAACGCTCCCCGGAAATTAATTACCAATTAACGACGTAATCAGGAATCTCTGGGATGAGCGTGCGCCTAATTTGCCTGGGCCTGATTGAGCGATTGTTCTTTATTACCGTGTGTTGATTCTGAAAGGTCCAGGACAATTCTCACAAGAAAGTTTTGCTATTAATTATTATTAGATAAACTGTGGAATATCCATCTCCATGTTAATCAACCGTTAAAGGAAAATTGAAGTTAAAAGCAGACCCAATACTAAACAAATATCATGGTGCACTCTAAAATCCATCGGATGGAAACACATTTAGATTACTCATCGTCGAGTACCACGAATAGAATTGTAGAACGATCGTACAACCTGACATCAGCTAATCTGACAGAATACAGGTACACGCTATTTCTCTTTTACTTTGAAATAAAATTCACGCAATGATGTGGATTTACACCAATCGTTCCTCTTAAGTGTTCTAGCGTTATAATTCAAAGTGGCGAGTGATCGAACTCGAAGTAACGCCGTAACGAAGATGGAAAGGCGATCCTAACGAGCCAGAAATCTCGTTTCCCGTACTGTCAACTACTCCTGATTAATGTCGATGGCGACATTTCCGACCGAAACGTGTCCTCGACGATCCAGAAATCGTTATCTGCTCGGACGTTTCCCCCGCTCTCCAGGGCTTCCTCTTGCCTAGGCACAAGGGAAGGAGCTTCGACAAATCGCGCAGCCAGGAGGAGGACTAATTACACCTACCACGGAAGGACGATTCGCTAACGAGTTTCCGGCTGGTGCTCGCGACCGATTCGCGCTGAAATTAAACCGACTGCGTCGACGATGTACGGTCAATTCTTATCCGCTGGTAAACGTCGCCAGGCCGAGTTAATCTCTTTCATTAAGGTTGGCCATCGAGTCCGCCTGCTTGTGGAATTTTCAACGCGAACAACCGTCCGGAAAATACTTTTCCCGTCCGGAGGGAGGACAGCATCATCGGTGGTATTCCACGGTGCATAATTAATCTGCGAGAAGCAATGCTAATTTCTGTTCCTGTACTCTCTCCACGGTTGGTAATTTGTTGGATTTAATTTAACGACTCAATCGTGAGAGTGGCCAGGCTTGCTTAAATGTGTTTCGCGTAAACCCGTTGGTGTAGGTACACCTAATCTTTGGTCCTCTGAAAACGAGGGAAAATAATGGAAGGATAAGTAAACTTGTGTGATATAAAATTAATAGCATCGGAGCACGGATTATAATACGAAGGAAAATATTGTTATACGATACAAAATTAATAAAATCATACAGTACTTAAAAACCTTTTCAGGTTACAGGGTACTTCTTTCGGTTTTTTACGTTCACGAACTCAAATAAAACACGTTTAAAGCATACCCAGCTACTTCTGCATCCGGGGTTTGTCACAACATGCAACTCTAATTATTAATTTAATGACACCTCCATTACGGAAGCAGTTAAACGATATCGCATGACTTCACGAAACGTAAAAGTCGAAGTTTACGTGCAAATTGCTATCGTTAAACGTAACCTTAAGAAGAACTAACTACTAATTATCTAATTAGAGCGGAAGGGTGTTCGCGTAAAAAGTGTTTATGGATTCGATGGAAAGTTTCGAGCGAGGAATATACAGGTGTGAAGATTAAAAAGAGAGAAACGAATGAATCAACAAGGAAAGAATACCTGAAATTTAAATGCGCGATGAGGAGAAAACATCGAAATATCACAGAGACCGCGCGAGATGAGTGCAGAGGTGTGACGTGAGAAATTATAGCACCCAAGGCTGTAAAGATAAGATATCGTCTTGCAAATTACTGAGACGAGCCGGATCCGTATCTGTCTCCTATTTAATTAGCAAAATTTCGCGAAACGGAGATAGACGCGAACCGCAGTTCCTCCGTCTCCAATTACGGGGGCCCGTTTATTGCCTGTTAAGTAATAACAATTATAAAAGACAACGGGTACGGCGACGCTAACAGCAACGACAAGGATAATATAACGTAAGAACGTTAAATACGACGCGAAGGTAATAATACTCAATTATCCTCGAGAAGTTTAAGGAGGACTGCGCATGTACTTCCATCGGTGATAAAAACGAGTTGCCGAACGATGCACAAGAATTCCAGCGCTCAAGGTTACGTAATGAACGGTGCTTCTCTTCGGGGTCTCCTTCCAGGGACAATAAAATTCCGCGCGAGCAATTAGCACTGGCAACCGGTGATTACGTCGAGAAATACACAGGGTGGGTCGTAACACGTGGCCGAACGGAGACGTCAAAATAGGAAAGAAAGTTCACGTAAACATGTCCTCTATTTGACTGTGTTCCCGAGTTGCTATTTCTGTGATGTAGAAACTGATGTATTCAATGTCTGGTCTCGTAGTGGCATGTATAAGAGCACGGGTACTGTGACCAGTATCAAGATCATGGACAGCGAATATATTAATCTTGAATCGAGCTTGTATGAATGATTCTACTGAACTGTTTGTATAAGATGCATCGTAACTATTCGATGCAATGTTGGAGATGCTATGATGTTTACGATTCTTTAATAAAAACTCGAATATAATCTCTAAAGAAAACCTAAATAATATAATAATGAAAATTACAGAGGACCTGGGAGAAAAAACGGATCGAGTCAAATGGTAGTTGTTTTCAGATTGTTTTAATTGGGATAGGATCAAATGGGACACGTAATTACAAGAACTTTCTCCATTAGTTTTACGTCGTCCGATCTATACCCGGGTCCCACGTGTAACGATACACTCGGCGGATCGGATCGACGTGGATAATTTTCGAACTTCCTTGTCCGAGCTAATTCGAAGCCGAGCGTTGCACGTGGAACTCCTCGGTCGTAACACGAAACTATAAATTACCGGAAGAACAAGCCGAGGAACGCCGAACCCAGCGCATCCAGCTGGCATTCGTGCCGTTCCACTGGACACTCGTCAGCCCTATCGCTAATGAAAGGCTGCTCCGAAGGACTCGCGGGGGCATAAAGGGCGCGCGTGAGCGGACACTACACGAAAAGTCAAACGAGAGATCAAAACGTTGTTGCAACGGAAGATTTATCACGCGATCCATGGATTCCTCAACGATTTCGGTTGACGAAGACAGAGAATAATATATGGCGTGACCAAGAAGACCTACTAAAAAATTTGCAAGCCTAGTACTTCTCGCTTTGAAAGTGCGAAATAGATTCTAGCAATCATGGGTGTACAAATATTTTATTTGGTAATAATATAACCATTTTGACTGCTTGATAATTCTTAAATGTTTCAGTCATGTTGGAGGATATTAAAAATTGAAGTAAAGCATGTGGTTAATATTGCAGTTCTGTTTGCTTGTTTTCGGAGAAGAAACAAGAGTGCCCTTGGATACCGCAATGAAACTGGCTTGACAGTTAAGATTCTGCACGGTTTCATAGTTAATGTTCGAAATGGCCTCCACTGGAGGTAGCATGCAAGTTGATACGCCTATCATGGTCTATCGCATGTGCACGACACTTCCGGCTGCCTCCGACGGAATTGCATACATTGATTGCGTTACCTGTTATTTATAATTCACGTGGGAAGGTCAGATAAAAATGTTATTACGGTTTCTTGGCATTCGTGTGTAACGGGTCCTTCGAAATTGCTTAGTGATAGTAAAAGGTATTCTGAAAAACGTGTAAAAAAATTAAAATTCAATTTGTCACTGCCTCGCGTCTTTGATTATTATCTGCAAATATTAATCCATTAGGTTACACGACATTTACATTCAATTTCTCCCTTCTTTAATTTCTACCGCGACGTAATAAAACGAATAGTAAGATAATTGCATTTAAACTAGGTATAAGTAAATTATAATTAAAGTCGAAACGGGGTCACTCGAGAGCCCAGAAATTCTCCTGAGCTCACAGTGGATGTGTCTCCGAAACAAAAGGTTTTTAGGCCAATGCTTTTCAGCGTTCTCTCGCTTGTTTTCAGATGTGGAGAATGACAATTTACCAGGCAGGATTTTCGAACCACCCTGTACGGAGATAAATATTTCCATTCCCACAGAATAAACGTCGCTGGCCCGGTGTATATTTTAATCCAGCGCGGTTTAATCCGGATAACGTTTCAGCATGAATCAAACGAGCGTCGCGAACGAAATGCGCGAACAATGCTCCAGACAACGATGGAAAGAGTGCATCTTTCCAGCCCTCTCACGCTCAGTCGCTTCTCGCAGAGATGGGAAAAATTTTTCTTCCTTAGAAAAAATCTGGAACGAGTGAAAGGTAAACAGCTCTTGCTACGTTAGCTGTTCAATAAAAATTACTATCTGAATTATATAATCGTGTCACGTTTTTGAAACCTTATCCAAGGAACTGTTTACCTTAGTTTTATTCGATTATTTTACGTTTTTATTGCACCGTATCTAAACAGTATACAAAAAATGCAAAAAAAAAAAACACACGGAATTACTACTACTCTTTTAGATTAAAATTAAACTCAATTTCGTTATTAAAATTTAATACTACAATTTGATAAGCCTCAACCGTACCTCATTAGACTGGACTTGCTTAATCCATTCACCTAATAAATAAATAAATAAAATATATAATACAATAACAAGTTCTAACAACAACTGCCTTACAGCCCAACATTAAATTCCTTTCTGCCATTCTTAATCGCATAAACATAACGAATAAAGTTCTGAGTAGAGTTTTTATTCGTCCTTTATTATCCGAATAAAGTTTTACCTCTGTCTGGCGTCTCTATTCACGTTTCCACGACGCTGCAAAAGGAAGAATAAAAAACATGCGACCGAAACAATCGTATCCAGTCCATGGAAACCGTTTCCACGGCCGTTTCCTCGTGAGAAAATCGGCGAACCGGCCAATAAGGCATCCTTATACGCCAATTATGGTTCATAACCCGACGAATCAGCGGTCCTCGTCCCTCGAACGGGGCTGCGTGTCCCGAGTAGTTGCAGCCGATGTTGCAACCAGCAAATAAAGTTATCCAAGGATGATGAAATCGGTCTTTAGGCTTCCGCCCAGGCAACTGGAATTAATGATGAAGTCGATGATCGATCATGATTGCGGGATCGAAACTACAATTGGGCAGAACTGCCTTCGAGTAATGGGCAATGAATGAAAAATTCTGTGCAGAGATTTATTCGGAATTTATTCGAATGAACTGTTACTCAGGTAAGTTCTTAGTTGTATAACTCGAACTATAAGTAGATGGAGTAGTTAAGATTGCAGGCTTTAGTAATTGAATGTTAGGTCAATGAGTATTTATTTAGAAAAATTAAAATTTTTATTAGTTTTTTGGTGTTTAGTCCAGAACAGAAATCAAATATTGTTGGCTATAGCGACTTAACTAGTACTTATTCTCATTAATTTTCTCCTCGTCTTAACAATTACAATGGTGCTCTTCAGGTAAGACATAAGAATCTCTAAAAAATATTTTTTTGGTTGCAATAGCGTTATAGTTATAAGTCGTGTAGTAATTTTACTCTGATCGAAACTAGATGAGGTGTGACGAGGAACACGTATTCGTCGCACGAATAAAAAGAATGCCAGATGTTCGATATTGGATCGTCATATTTTCCAACGTTAATGGAAGGGTAATCTACTTCTAATGTCTGCAACTTTTATGAATGGATTCGGTTAATAACGACGTGCTCGATAATTGCATCCCTTCATCCTGCGCTTTTTTATTTTAGTAGACGAGGAATTCAATTAAAAGGATAATGTTAATAGACTCATTATTGATCAGGAATTTGGACGTGTCTACATTTTGCAGGTGAATGTTAAACTGGGGAAGATTTTATTTTATAGAATTCACTGTCTTGCCAACCGAATACACTACCTTACCAAACGAATACACTCTTTTATTGACGAGATAAAATGTCGTCATACCACTCGAAAAATATTGCATAAAACCTTCACCATTACTCATTATCAACTGAAACTTGCTAAAATACTAATCTTTTTTAATGAAAAGAATTCAGTACCACTCGACTCCTGAGAAATTCACTTCAAATCTATTCCTATCCGTTTCAAATTTATCGAAAATTCCCTTCACTTTCACAAACCATTTCTCATCGCGATAAAACAAACCGTGCGGCGCATCGCGCTCAACCAGCGTCGTTTGCACTAATTTATCCATACAACCGCGAAATTCCCGAGTCTCCTTTCGACTAAACGGGCGCAGTCAAATTTTCGGGGCGTGCAATGCGCGCGCGGGAAACCGTGTGTGCCGGCCTGTACGTGTGCTCGGGCGCGTTGGAGATGCATTGTTATTATAGTGGTGCATTCTCGTGGCGGAATACAGCAGAGGTAAGAGGAACAGACCCACCACGAAATTGCTTTCTGCCGTTTGATCATAATCCAATCGTTCCACCACAGACTAAGCCACCTAATGGGACGCGGAACCCAGGCATCTCGGGCGGAAAATTTATGAACGCCTGTTTCTCCCGCGCAAAGAGGCCGCCCGCGGAGGAATGCGTTCTCCCCGCGTTCCGCCACTGTTAAATTAATGCAGTTTGTGCCCTTTAAATGGCATAACGCGCACGCACAAACGCGAGACGCCCGCGGTGATTGAAAGGGAATCCAATCGCTCGAGGGATAGGTCGTTGCGAAGTTCGAGGGAACGAAAAATTGCGTTTTTTTTTTTTTATTTTTGTTCTGGTGGCGATCGAGAAGATATCTGGAAGACACACGCGCGATATCAACGATAAGATAGCGTGGCGTGAAACGTATCGCTGGCTGGGTTAGGTCAGAAACGAGGGGGGGGCGATCAAAACAGCGTATTTGGAGGAAAGAAATATTTTTCTGGGGATTAAAACGACCCGAATTGCGCTGAGATATTTCTACTGCGTGTATTCGATAAGGAATTGCGATACGATGATTTTTGTGAAACATTTTATGGAGACAGGGCATTGAGGGATGTTAATCTGAAGTGCTAAGGAATGGAGATTAAGACAGCTAAAATAAATGTAAAAGAGTTTACATTTTCAAAGGCTTGATGCGCTCTTGAGTCTATAAAAACTTCCAATAAAAGAGGAGAAACCACATTAACAAGATACAGGATAGACCACACGAGAGTATCGTAACAGAAGAGACAGGGAAATTTTTGGAGTACAAGTTGATAAGTGGATTCCATCATCCTCGAAACAATTGAGAAACGTTTTAATACAAACATAAGACGAATCGGTATTAAAAGTAACTGGCGGTCATTATTGCACTCAGCCCTGCGCGTAATGTAAGAAAATCATGTTTGAAAAGTCCTCGGCTGATGGAACTTTCCGAAATGTAAAGTGCATGGTCAAAGGGAGTAGCCAATCACCTTAAAGATAGACTTCAAAGACGAAGTTATCGAGAGGACGTTTTAAAAGTCTCGCGTATCTAATTGCTTCTGTTAACGTTTATCACTTTGATACGCTCGCTTTTTATGGACGGGGCTCGTTATCTGCGCGAAACGGCGCGCAACAGCCGAGCTCTCTCGCGCTCCACTGATCCTAAAATAGGTAAAGAAGCCAGCATCAAGGCCCCGTGGCAAAAATGGTTGTAAAGTTGCGCAACGTCCACGGAGCCAGCTCCTCTAACCATCAGGCTGACTGTTGGCCTGGTCTGTTCAGTTTCTACTTTCTCTACTGATATTAACGGACGATACTAACACATGCATTACCATTTGCCAAAATCCTTTGGTTTCGTGTATTTTTCGACGCTTTCAAGTGTTTTGTGCTCAATAATGCGAAAAGACAAGCAATCGTATGAATGTGTATGTTCAATAGAGTTTATCTTGAATTATATCTCTGGACCAACTAACTAGAATATTATGAAATTTTATATGGTGGTCTTTACATATAAAGCATTGTTACCGTTAAATTTTAGAAGAAAATTGTTACAAGAGCGTATATGTTAACCCCTGTTTTACGTGACACATCACAGTAGTGGTTAATTAGAGAATTATAAACTTTGATATACTGACTTCTTTATGTAAGATACTGGTGCCATTAAATTTTGGAATTTCAATATTATTAGATCACTTAGGTCTGAACATTTGCCAATTTTGTTTATTTCCCTCGACGACGTTCATTCAGTGATCCAGTTTCGGATCAACAAGGGCAACGGATGTCGCGTGAATTCCTGTGCGAGCACGCATCGTGGTTCGTCGCTGACATCATTCCCGCGGTCGTAAAGACGCCGTAAAATTGGTCGTTCCATTGCACCGAGTAGATCCACCGAAAATATCGATTACGCTATAGGTGCCAGGTAAATTTATCGACAACCTTGTTTACTGCCACGGAAGATCCGATGAGAATGCATGAGAAAAGTGGGACGAGACTAGAGTAGCATAAATTTATTTTTATCTCCTCGTGAAACCAAAAATTAACGATATTGCATAAAGAACTCTTGCGTTGTTCCATGTTTACACCATGTAATACGTCTCTGTATCATGTAGACGATAATGTACTTATTTCTTTTTATAACAAGGATATAAGAGAGAACAAAAATGTTCAAGCTTCCTTGTGGGCATTCTCCAACAGTACGTATTACATTACCATTAAAGATTTCCACATTATTCTACGAATATTCCAAATCAAAAATTCCAGTTCATGTAACATCAGCCTACGAGATCTATCAAAATTAAGAACATCGTAATTCTCTCATGGAAAGTGACTCACCAACCGGTGGTAACGTCCCAAATCCGCAAGCCGGTTAATCCGCGCATAAGATATAGGAACAACGCGCGTAGATTTTATCGCGAGCCTCTTTTAGCATATAGATGGAAGCAATATGGCGAACAAGTGCCAACAGGCGACACGTTGCTAGTCCCTCGAGCAACTCGGCGAAGGGAGCAACCCTAAACGTGACAGAATACTTTTTTCCGCGTAGCTGTCTCATAAAACTTTCCAGAAACGAACGATGCCCGAAGAGCGACATTAGATTGCCGAAGTATCGCAACTAGGGGAGGAAATATCGCTTCGACGGAAAGTTTGACGCCAGGAAACGCGCGGACCTCGCTTGTCGGAAATCGTCGCGAACTTCGGTTATATTCGGTTATATCGGCTCACGAAACGAGGATGTTGTCATGCGCGTATCCGCGTTAAAAACGGCCACTTATGCAATTTACATTTCTGAGCGTGCTGTAGGAATGTTAAAACATCCAGGAATATTGGTGGCTCAACGGTAATCCGGAGCTCGGTGGAGAATGCAAATTTAATCAGGGGAACCTATAGCAATCCCTTGGAGATTTTTATAATACTTGGAAGGGTGCATTTCGTTTCAGCGGGTACATTATATAAACAATTGAGTTTTGTGTCAAGAAAGTATCCGATCGGTAATACAGAGGGTTCTATCTATGTTTTTTATTCTGAAGACGTTCTACCAAGTTATATACCCAAAATAAGGCTAATGGTATTCCACGTTTACGATTTGAAGAATTATTTTAGTTTTAGAAATTTGTTCCATTCAAGCAGAGCCTCCTTTCTAATAAAACAGGTCTACCTCAAAAAGTGTCGTTCACTTCCTACCGTCAACAGAAAACTACAGAACCAAGAGTCTTACTCAACACAAGCGAAGTTAGACAAGAATCCCACCATTATCTAGTTACGTAATTTCCTGCCATTTTCCAGAGCATCCAGAACATGGTGTTTCTGCAGTCCATTCAATAGAAGAACAACTTCGGTAACCGTGTGTGACCAATTAACATAAACAGTCCATTAACGACGTGGCTATCAGATTTTCTTCAAGGTCTGATCATAGAAGACGACACGCACGTAGCTGAATGCAACTTGAAAGCGAGCGTCTGTCTTACGTCCTTGAGGAGCACCGTTGGGAACTGCGAAGAACCGTTGAGGACATCCAAGGACCCTGAACGAGTTCTAGCCTCCCGCGATCCTCCATCGGAATTCTATTCCCGAGGCTGTTGTACATCGTCACCCGTTCCTCCAATGCAAATAAAATTATCATCGGACAATTCTTAGAAACTATGTCCAGGTAGTGGCTTGTACGCGAGTGATACCATTTTAATTCCACCAAACGTGTTTGACATCCTGTTTAGGAAACACGTTTGTTCGAAGACGACTCCTACCTGAATA